TTGGCACAACAAATAGCATTGCATTGGAGAGTGTTTTTTGCACTCAAATGTTAAATTTGTAATTGGCACATTAATTATAGCATTACATTGGAGATGCTCTAATGTCAAGGTTTCCCTCTTATTGCATATATCTAAATACACCACATATGGATGTGTTCAATATCTAAATAAAGCACGTAGAGATATAACCAAAATGAACTGGAGTACTTGCAGAAGAATCCTATTTTTAAGATAAAGATATTAGCATAAACGGTAAACCCGTTAAAATACATGATAGAACATGAGGGGAATGAAAGAGAAAGGGGCAATTGATAGAAACATTCATCAAAAGAATCGAAAATCGTTAGACTTCAAGTTTTAACGATCATTTTAAAACCTACACTTTCTGTGAGAATGATTTCTGATAAGTAAGATGACAAAATAAGTTGACCTACGTCGTGTCAAAAGTAAATTAAACATGTAACCACTAATTAACTCAATGGAGACAGAATTAGTCCCTGTACTCCACCTAAAATCTCTATCTAAAACAAATCAGGCTATCGCATTATGATCAAGTTTTAAAAGAACAGAACACTAAAAAGGAGGGGGTGGGAACACAGATAGCGACATGTAGATTACCTTGTAACCGAAAATTTCACAACATGCCCTTCTGAACACTGAAATTCTATCGGCAAAGACGGTCTTGTATCTGTTGAGTGGTCAAATTCAAATGTTTCAGTCAAATTGGAACGGCATAAGTTTACAACTATTTAGATATGACTAGAAAGATAAGCACAGATCTTTATCAAGAAAGAAACCTTTCTTCACGTTTTTCTAATGTTGCAATTTGTTCCTTTAACTGTGTTATCTTCCCTGAAATGTATGAATCGACTAGTTTCCCAGAGTCACCTGTAAAGTTTACCAGACTAGTAAGTTTTCTTTCAGTAATATATTGTCTTCAGACGCAAGTATAAAGTTAAAAAGTACAAAATGCAAGATAGCCTTTTGATTGACAACATTCTTAGAAATCCAAAAGCATAAATAAGTCATACCATATTAACTTGGTTAATCTCCGTCATAATTTATAAGAAAAAGTCATTTTAAAAGGAACGAGATTGGAGAAACATAAAGATTCTTCCATTCAAGGAACAGCGCTTATACCCGACTGACTTTTCAATTCTTCAACGGCTTGTAACCTCTCTTTCGTCTTTTGTAGCTCAGTTCTTAATGCCTCTATGGTTTGTTTTGCCTCGTTATCGACTGCTAAAGTATTTACCATGCGCAAGACTTTGGTATTTGCAGCAGAAAAATCACCATGGCCCAGCTTTGCAAGGGGGGAAAAAAGACAGTATATATTACTAGGCAAGAAGTCAATAACAAAAGAAAGTGAGCTTTTTAGAAAGTTGATCGTTTTTCAGTGATGTGAGAAGACACTGAGATTAAAAA